ATTTGTCTAAGCTCTCCTGTCTGCGGCTACACAACTTGTCGTTCCATGAGTAAGACTCCACTGTTATCCAATCTGAATTTTCCACCCATCGACTCTTCCCTGTACTCTGTTTCACCCATAGTTGCTGCTTTTGTGCATATGTCTTTCTGTGCTTTGCAACTTCCCTAGAACGCCAAGAATTGGCTGTTCTATTTGCCATCGTGGTGCTTAGAATTTCACTCCTACTGTTGCCCAACTCCATGCGAATTCTCATTGCTTTCAAGCAAACAATGATTTCCGGCTATATAGGATCAGTCTCCACATTAGCTTTAGCCCGGATGGTAATTAATGGACAATAATCAATATATTAGCCAGAAATCTGATCCACTTCCGTTGTCTTGAAATTCAAATCTTTTCTGTTGTCGTAAATACTGCCTTAAACTTGATTGAATCTAGTAAAGTGTAAATGTGACAACTTTTCACATACAGATAATGCCGCCCATACTTTGGAATGCTAGAACAATAGCTGCAGTTTCTAAATTCATGGGGTTGTATAATTCAATTCATGTGGCTTTAACTGTCGGGGGAACATAGCTACCACCTTCCTGTTTCTTGCATTTAAGTACAACATCCTAACCCATATGGGGAGGCATCACTGTTAAATCTCAAAGTCTTTACTGTACACTGGCTGGGGTCTTCGTGCGTCAACATCGTGCCTGCTTTCAAAGCCAAGAGGTTTTTATTATTTTTTTTTTTGCAAGACTTTTTTTTTTTTTCTTTAACCAACCACATAGAGCCCGAGTGTCAAAACTTGCCTGACATCTATCATCCCATTGGAAACAATGCTTCTTCTTCAATCGTTTTGTCATTTAAATGGTGAATGAAATGATAGAGAAATCCCTTTACGACTTCTGTAATAACCGGACTAACCATGTAAAAACTGGCGAACTTACTATAACATTTCTGGGCGTGATGTCTCCAATTAACAATATGCCTTCCAATCTATTCTTAGGACTCCAACTCTGATACCCTCAGTGATACCACATGTCTTAAGAAAGAAACTTTCTTCCAGCCAAACTACACCTCTACTGAGCTTGGCATACAGCTGTTATCCCTCGAATGTTTGAAAGTACGATTGCAAATGTTTATCATGTTCAATCACCACTGTTCGTCTCTGGAGTAGACCAAAACAATGTTCATACTAGTGACACCACCACAATGATTCTAAATATGAATGAAACTGCGGTTCATGAGTCCAATATGAAAACCGCTGGTGCATATTGTGCAGAGCCGAATGGCCAATGACTAAAAGTCTAGTGACGACCATTATCTGGGTCCTGATGTGTCCTATAGCGATATCTTCTTTTCCTACCTTTATCCGCAACCTGATGGTATCTTCATATCCCCGACCTGAGGGATCGATTTGGTTTTTAAGAAACATTACCTGCACCCTTTAATTGATCAAAACAAATTCATCATTGCGACAGGCAATGGATAAACTCTATTCTTGTACTTGTCGTTTGTTCAGTTGTCTTGCTAAGTCTGTCAACTGCACAATTGAATGAATCCATCTTTTCTTTACAGAATAATACCTGTGGCCTCACCCAAGGTGATACACCTGAGTGGTCTGAGTATAAAGGCCTCTTTCTAATAACTCCTGCAGCTGAAATTCAACTTCTTTTAAGCTCAGTGCTAGTGCCATTCTTGTAAAGGTGCAATTGATATGGTGCTACTCTAGGATAGACCATCTATGGTAAACTCACTTCCCCTCCTTTTGTTAGTTAATCCCCCCCATCGCGTAACTCTTCTGGTAAATACATCCATGGATAATCCGACACACTCGAGATTGGGTATGTTTTGCACTTTGTACTGTTCGGTTTTGCTTTGCGTGGGTAATGCACATACCAAAGTTGCTTTCACAACCCTTCTGACATCTAATCTCTTTGCCTTGCCAATGGCTGATATCACATTACCCAGAAAGAATGGCATACCACATGTCCTAAGAAAGAAACTTCTTCCAGCCAAAACTCACACTTACTGAGCTTGGCATACAGCTGTTTATCCCTCAGTGTCTGAAGTACAATCAACTAGAGCCTGATGTCTAGATAGCCAATCCATACCCAGAATAACATCAAATTCTCTAAATGGCAACTCCATAAGATCTCCTGGAAACTCTTTTCCCTGAATAACAATTGGACATCCTTCGATCACTGTATCGGTTTTTACTACATCACCTAGTGGATTAGTAACTACCAGACCCTGACTCACATATACAACTTCTAACCCTTTAACCCAAGGTTTAGATATGCAACTGCTAACCCTTTAACCCAAGGTTTAGGTACGCTAATGTATGAACGTGATGATCCAGGATTAATTAAAGCATAAACTATATGATCACATAAAGAAAACTCACTAACTATTACATCTGGAGCTTCTCCATCTTCCCTGGCTCGCATAGCATAGACCCTGGCTGGAACTCTAGTCTCAGATCTATCCACAGTCTCTGATTGTTGTCTCTGCCCTCCGAAGGTCTCACCTCTACCTCTGCCTGCTATGAACTGTGCAGGAACTTTTGCCCTCTTAGGACAGTCCTCCTTCTGATGGTCTGATGCTCCGCATATCCAGCATTTACCAGTCACCATCCAACAATCTCCATCATGTTGTCTGCCACAAGGTTCACAAGGTGGAAAAGTATAACCGGCTGACTCTGTACCTCTACCGGTACCTCTACCAGTTCCTCTGCCAGAACCTCGACTACCACCGGCAGAACTAGCCACCCACTGGCAGAACTAGCCACAACTGATACCGCTGGCATGTTAGCACCCCTAGCTACGCCTTGGCTAAAGGAAGGTCTAGCACTAGCTGAACTACTAGCACCTCTGAATCTCTTGCTTTCTGACTGATAACTACTGGGTGCACTCTGAGTCTGGTCTCTCCTTTGTTGAGACCGCTGGCGTCTGGTACGCTGACTGGCCTGAATTCGCTCTATCTCCTGAGCTGCCTCTACCTCCTGAGCTGCCTCTACCAAAGCTGAGAACTCTCTGAATCTGGACGCTACCACTCCCATCTGAATCTCATCGTTCAGGCCTTCCTGAAACTTTTTACTTCGGCACTTCTGTAGCCACTATATCCCCTTTACCATACGGCCTGAGCTGGTAAACTTCTCTTTCATATTCTGAAAAACTGACAGTCTGTTCTGTCGGAAGGTATTAAGAAGTCCTTCCTTCTCGCATCTAGAGTAAGCCTCTGTGATAAACTTTTCTTGAATCATCATAAAGATATTGCTCATGTACGCCTGCTCTGTTAGATACTCGCTGTGCTGACAACAGTTAGTCCACCCATGTATATGCTTCATCTCATTACGCAATATGTGGCACAAATCAACTTGTCCTCTAGTGATACACTGAATTGTTCAGAACTCTCAATGTCCCATTCTAACCAATACTCAGCTATTTCTGGCACTATCTCTTTATGGCACTAATTCCTTCGCACATATTTCAAAGCTTCTCCAGTGGGGCTTTCTTATCGCTTTTCTATTACGACTGGTGACTTGAAGCATCACCCTGCAATCTGATCGAAAGTATCTGCGTTGCTTTAATAATGCTCGTTGACCTGTTGCTTGCTGGAAGCCTCACCCTCCACTCTCTGGAGGGGTGACTCACTCTCACCCTCCTTGTAGCATCCTCCTAATAAGAAACAACAACTGCTTAGTTCAATCAGGGTAGTCAGGCATGTACACTATACTGACTTATGAATGCAAAGCCAGGGAAAAACTAACTAGGCTCTGATACCAAAATTTGTAACATCCTTCTCCTATACACATCAATATCTTACAACGCTTATCTACAAATCACTCAAGTAGAGACTGAATAACAATAAGCTGAAGTACATATCTACTTACTGCGAGGAGAGATTGAGGATGACCTACAAAGGACCATGAAGAATAATGAAGAAGATAAAGATAAAAAGATGTAACAATGGAGGAAAGTAAAATGATTGATTACGGGTTTTAAGTAATCACAAAATCAAAGATAAAATTGATGGAAACTACTAATGAATACCTCAATATGTAAAAAGCCTATAAGCTTAATACCCAGCTTGTTCTTTTTCAATGCCATTAAATCCTAATCCTTACATTTGCTACCTTTCTCTCCTCAAATCAAGTCAAGTCCACTAATAATCCCATTCTACCCCAATCCGGGTTTGTTCAACTCGACTTCAAACTCGACTCTAATGCAAAAAGACTCGACTATGGGGCAAAGACTCGACTCCGGTCTAGGATGTCACAATTGCTCGTTGTCAATCTAGCACTTGGTTTGGAACGTACTTGTGCCAGATTGCCATGCAAGATTTTTGAACTACAGCTCTGATACCAAATCGATTCTCATTAACTATAAAAAATTAGTGAATTATGGAACAATCACAATACTCAATACCAAATACTCCATATGCGTATATTAACTGGAGAATATTAAAGAGAGACCATCCTCTACTAACCTCCACTGTTTTTTTTTTTCTTTCTTTTTTATAATCTTCACAACACATATAGAGAAACACTGAATTCTCTATGCCTACTTTATTCATTTCTCGCTCATTACGAATTTTAGCATGTCTTATATAAATACCATGGCAATATGATTAGATTGGTCTTGAATCGATCTTTGTTAGCCTTCTAACAATCTAAGTCCAAGTTAGCGTTCACTGACGATTGCTATGCTTTCACCAACCAAGACTTTACTCATTTAGGAACCGTCTTTGACCATGCATCCACCGTCCATGACTTTTAATTAGCTGTAGACAAGTTTAGTTTTCTATCACTTCTGCCTCACTTTGTTCATCCCCTCTTACTTCTTCTACACCATTACTCACAGCTGTCTCATTTTGTGCATTCACTCCCACTTCATTTTCCTCACCCCCTCCCACGTTTTCATGTAAATTTATTACACTACTTTCCCCTAACACAAACTCAAAGTCCTCATTAAGTTCCCATTGGTTCAAGTCACCTAAGGTATGTTAGTCACCTAAGGTATGTTAAGTATCACCTAAAGATTGAAAACTTTCACCTAAATGTTGCTCAGTGGGTGGCAGACCCAATAATGTAGGAAAAGTATGCTTATTTCAAGTAATTGGATTTGAAGTGCTTGGCTTGGATGGTTTTGGAGTTACATCAATAGTTTCATCCACAATTTCATCTATAACTATAGAACTTGTAGGAGCATTAATATTTATGGCTTCCTCAATTTTAGCAACTCTAAGGTGTTCTACATACACATGAACGATCTCATGGTTACTACTGTATAAAGACATTTCATAGACATCACTTTCTTTTTCAAGTGGCTTAAGACTCTCACTAAATTCTTTACCCGGTTCTAAGCACCAATGTCTACAAACACCCTCTATACCCATCCTTTGTAAGGCTTTATCTACCCTGATAATAGACATCATATCTACATTGCAACATGTTAGGGTAAACTCAGACTCCTCAAAATAACCATGTTGCCCCTTTACACCTCCATAGTGAATAATTAAATCATAATCAAGCCCTTCTCCTCCTACTCAAAACAAAAACAAGCAACAATTTTAAAGTAAACATCAATAACCATGCAAATCAAAGATGCAGTGAGTAAATTTAACAATGTTAGTAACCTAAAAACCCTAATAAAGACACAACCATCGTATTTAACATGGAGACCAAACACAAATCCAAAGTAAAAATAATAAAAAAATCTCAGTAACCACAGTAGGACCATATGTCTACCTCAAGCTTTTTGCCCTTTTCAACCACACAAAAATCCAAAAGCAATAATAATAAAAATTTTCAGCAATGGTGGACCACATGTTTTCTACAACAAAGTCATTCAATATAAAATAAGACAAAATAGGATAAATACCTATTGGGCCACATGTTTTCTACAACAAAGTCATTCAATATAAAATAAGACAAAATAGGATAAATACCTATTGGGTTTTTATCCATCGAAGCAATGCATCTGGGTTCCACCGATTCTCTCTCTGCCTTTCTTCTCTCTTCCTTTCTTCTTTTTTATTCTAATCCGTGCACTTTACATATGCGTCCAAAGCTCCTTCCTTTCTTGTTACTTACTTTCTTCTTTCTTCTTTTTTTTTTTTATTCTCATAACGTTGCTCTAAGTAGCCAAAAAATTGACGCTTTGAAAGAAAAAGAAAAGATGCAAAAAGAGAGCAAGTCACCCTAAAACTGATGAAGAGTCCCCAAATTGATGCTTTTGATGGTCTGGATTTCTCAAACAGTAGTAGTGAAAATGGATGATCGAAACCCAAACGAACTGAAGATGGCGTTGGCGATTTGGTTCAGTTCAGGGGAGACCTCGAATGGGTTTCAAAAATTGTCGATGCAAAGAGAAAGAAAAGAGACCAAAAAAAAAAAAAAAAATACAAAAAAGAAACTTAATCGACAAAGTGAAGAGAGAGAGAGAGAGAGAGAGAGGGGTTGGGGTCTGAGTGTTGAGATGGAGGAGAGAGAAAATGGCTAACATGGAAAATAAGAGAATTTTTTCATTAAATAAAAATGCCACTACGTGGCAATCCGGCCATTGAAATTTCTTAAATTAGGCAAAAGACATATTACTGTTACAAATTGGAGAGTTCAGATATTTTTATGATACATTGAAGATGGTATCCCGTCTTTTACTGTTACAAATTGGAGAGTTTAGATATTTTTACGATACACATTGAAGATGGTACCCGTTAAATGATTATCCGTATAGTTCAATTCCTTCCGGTGAAAATTACCCTGAAAAAATTGATTTTGGGGTAAACAGTTGTAATCGAGTATTTTTTCCATTTTAAACGACCATCTAATTACGTTTTCGACTATCTCAGGTTAAAATTCCAAAGGCGAAGAAAAAACATGCTTTAATGGCACCGGCGAAGAAGGGGAAAGCGAAGGCCAACTCGGCCGATTCAAATAAGCCAAAGCCGTCAGTACCAACTATACAAAACAATTACCCGTCGTGCATCCGTTTCGTGCCTCCCTCCTCTGTTGCCATCACCATCCACGCCAAGCCTGGCTCTAAATCCGCCTCTATCACGGGTGTCTATCTGTCTCTCCTCTAATCACGGGTTCTATCTGTCTCTGTCTCTGTCTCTGTCTCTGTCTGTCTTCTCTCTCTCTCTCTCTCTCCTCTCTCCTCGCTGTGTTTTGCTTAATTTGTAAAAATCGTTTGTTAATTTGTAAAAATCTTACTAATTGTGTTTATCTGATTATAGATTTCAGTGATGAAGCTTTAGGTGTGCAGATAGACGCCCCAGCCAAGGATGGTGAAGCTAACGCAGCTCTTCTTGATTATATTAGTTCTGTAAGTTCTCCTTTTTCTTGATTATATACTCATTTCTCAGGTAGCTGTTTATTTATTGTTACTTAACTAGAAGTAATGAAAATGTTAAATCAAGTCGAAGCCTGTGAATTTGTTTTTTTCTTTGAAGTTATTATTATTATAGATTTTATTTTTTTAAATATTGTAAACTCCTTTGATTGACAAGGAAAAGATGACTGAGTCTAATACTTATTTGCAGAGATTTTGTTTCTCCTCCCCACCTACTAAATGATTAATTTTCAGCCAATGATTCTAACAAGCACCCAACAGAACATTATAAAAACCCATCCGAAATTTTTGATGAATTGCCAAAATCTAACTAATACCTCAGCTAAAAGGCTCACATCCACTGAACATTTTTCATCATTTAATTTCACTTATCTAACAATAGTGAATTCATCATAAAAATTCAATCAACTCAATCAAAATTCCAGAAAATCTGCTATTGGCTGTTTACCAAATATCAAGAAGTTTAATGAAATCAGACAGATTCTCATGGTCAACCACTGCTCATGGTCAACCACTGAGCCCTGTTCAAAAAGATGAATGGAGGCCCTTATTTGTCACGAGCTCCTTCTATGAGCAACTCAGTAACCAAACTTCAACATGCAACTCAGTGATCATCTATCAATTTATTTATTTAATTTTGAAGAGATTGGGCTTATTTTGCTTTAGCCAATGCAATGAAGTCTAACTGTTTACTCAAGAAGTTCCTCTTGAGAGTGTTTTAGTCTCGTCATTACGTAGAGAGTAATGGCCACAGCAATTTTGGCTGCTGCAATGGTGCTCTTGCTTCCGTTATTTTTACATTTTTTCCTTTTACTATTGTATATTCTATGTGCGGATGCCAAATTTGTTACTTGTGGAAAATTTAATTCTTTTAGATGCCTAATATTTGCTATACTTTTTTTTTCCAACCAATGAATTTTTTTTTTTTTTTTGGATGGATAGTATATTGTTTAAAAACATGGGAACTATGGTTAGGATATATATATGGCATTATTAGAAATTCATTAGTTGTGAAGAGGTTTTGGTCGTCAGGAATAGATTTCATGCAAATTTGAGAGTTTCTATCTCTTCATTTTTGTTGCTAGTTATGTTTAGTTTGAGGTTTGAGCCTAATTACTAGCTTGTTTGTCTATGCTTTAAAAAAAAAAGGTGGTGAGAGATTGCAGGAACAGCAGATAAGTATGTAATGCAGAAGGGGTAAAGGATTGGGATTAAAGATTATCAATTAATGGAGGTAGAGGTGGTTGGTGGCAGTGGTAGTAGGTGATTCTGGAGTTGCAGCTATAGTAGCAGTGGGCAATTCTGATATTAGATTGGTGGCTATGATCGTGATATCTTGACGGTGAAGGCCGTGGTGGTTGAGTAGCTGGTAGAAGTATTGGTATGCGGTTAGAATGGTGGGCTGTTATGATTATTTTGATTTGTTCATTCAAGGTTAGGTTAAAAGAGACAGGCAGAGCAGCTGTGAGGGTAAGATGAATAGATGATAGTATTAGTAGTGAAGCTGTCCTAATGATGATGATAAATGGCAGATTAGTTTTTGGGGTGGGGGGAATGGGTGGTAGGAGACTGATGGTGGCTGTTTTGGTAGTGGCAGGAACATATATAAGGGCGCTTTTGGTGTTGGTTTCAATAGTGGATAAGGCTGCTATTTGGTGATGGATTTTAAGATGGTTCAAAAAACCATGTTATATGGGTTTGATTTTATTTATTTACTGATTTGTTTCTTGTTTGAGGGTTGCTAAAATGTCAAAGAAGAAACAGAAACAATTTTACTAAGAGCACTTGAAGTTCTTTTTCCAGGAACAAGAACATAAAATGAAGATAACACCAAATGTACCCTTGCTAATGAATTCAAGTAGCATTGTATTAGTATAATGCAATCAAAATCATATTTGAATCCTCTATTATTGATTTCTTGTTGGTCAACAGGTATTAAGTGTGAAAAGAAGGCAGGTATCCATAGGCTCTGGATCTAAATCAAGAGACAAGGTTGTTATAGTGGAAGAGGTAACTTTGCAGAACGTTTTTGATGCTCTTGACAATCTTGACAAGGTGTCAAAGGGGTATTGATGGTTGGCAAAATACGATATCCAATTTCTATTAAGTGAAAGGTATTATCATTAAATGCTTTAGTATTACCATGTAATTACCGAAGCTGTAATGCAGAATTAATGCTTTACGGGATCTTAAAGAACATATTGGAACATTTTTTAGAATTCTGCTGTTGGAGCCTGAAGAATATCAGTATCCAATGGAATGGTTTAGCTGCCCTGTAAATATGTACCGTTTGAACCTCCCAACCAGACTGTAAAGGACCTTTAATTGAATTAACAAGGGATAAACAGCGGCCCATTTGAGTGGATGAACCTTGACTTTTGGAGGGGAGGAGGGGGGTTTGGGTTTTTTGAAGGTAAGGTAATTCGACCAACTTATATGTTTAAAATGAGAGTTTTTTTTTTTTTTTTTTTTTTTTTTTTTTTTTTTTTTTTATTAAAATCCTTAATAAATTGAATTTTAATCTTTTAACAAACTGCTGAAGCAAACCGTTTTAAATCTTTATTTACTTTTATTATTTCCAAATATAAACATTATTTTTTTTTAAAAACAAAAATTATTGGAGGCTTTATAGGTTAACATAACATTAACTTTTAAATCTTTATTTACTTTACCTTACTTCCAAATATAACATTACTTTTTTTAAAAAAAAAATTATTGGAGGCTTTTATAGGTTAAAATAACATTACAGGCTATATAGTGGATAGTTTTTTTTTTTTAATTCATTGGAGGCTGTTATGGGCCGAAATAACACTAGAGGGATAGCTATTTTCACGATTCACTAAATTAGTGAAAATAAATGTGGTCAAAAAGACTCGAACTCGAAACTTCTCACTCTTCATATAAGTGAAAAAATCAATCAGATCACTACCCTGATCGGCAAATGTAACATTACCTTTACTTCACCTTGCCTTCTCATATTTACTTGACTCTACTTTAATGACTTTTCCTTCTCCTCATCTGGACAAAGCCTTAATTATACATTTCTATATATATTTTTTCAATGAAAAAGACATTTAAACTTACAATTATATATTCCATGTCAGTTAAAATTGCAGACACGAAATTCCTAATTATTGTTTATTGACTAAAAACAGAGGGGAAATAGAAGAAAGAGGGAGAGGAGAGGGACTTGCAGAATCAGGAAAGAAAGGGAGAAATTATAAATTATATAGAAAAATTATTGACTGCATGTAACTGCCCATATTATACAGTTTGCTATTTACATGTGATATAATAAACAGGGTAATAATATATGCACATAAAGAGAACAAACAAAATCACAATTAAATAAAATATATTCTCTTAACCAAAGGTTTTGAGTTCGAGCCTTCGATATGAAGTCTTTTTAAACACTCGGAAAGAAACACTTTTGTCCCCTTTCTAGGCCTGCCCAGCGCAATTAGTCGGGATGGATAAAAAAAAAAAAAAAAAAAAAAAAAAACGAACAAAAAACAAAATACAATTAAATAAAATTGGCACTAGTGTGATCAGAATCAATCACAATAATATGGGACCCAGAATTCCCATCGCACTTACCTCTGGACTGATGCTTTGTGGTTAAGGGTTCGCCAACACCACACTATAAGTTCACCCATTTATTTGCCTTAAGACTTTATTTTCCTGTGAGATGATGATCCATTTTGCAAGAAAAAAGAACACAATAATTGGAAATTTCTTCTCATCCTTCATTGACCACTAGTAAGCGCAAATCTCTTCTCTTCATCTTCCCATTTTTTTTATTTGATTTATGTTCTTTGTTTAAGTGAATCAATTCTCTGTTTTAATTTCTCTTTCTAGTACCTTATTATTAATTGGGTATTTCAGTTTCTAGTACCATATATAACTAAGTCTGCTCAGTACGCAGAACCTGAAAACAATTTTTTTTTTTTTTCAAATATCTATGTGGGATTTAAGGGTTCATTTTGTTATTTGTAGTTGGAATGTAAAATGAAAAGTGAAATTAAAATTTCGGAATTGTGAAGCATGCATCAATTTTAGCTGTTCAAACAAGGTTCAATTTTGTGTTTTTTGAAATTATATTATTTGGTTTTGGTTTGTAATATTATAGTTGGGAAAGTTGAGTGATTTCTTACATTGACGAGGAATTTAAAAGTCTAGAGCATCAGTTGTAGCAGCTGTGTATATTTCTTGTTTGCAATTTTTTTACTAAAAATTATATAGAAATAAATTTCAGTTATGTCCTATAATTTTGCCAATCTTCTTTTACATAAATATCATTTAAAATGATAAAATAATATGCTTATGGTTTATGTTGAAATAGATAGATACACATAGAAATGAGTTCTGAAAGTACAAAGGAAGAGTGCCTTGCATGGGCGGCGAAAGACCCATCTGGAGTTTTATCGCCTTACAAATTCAGCCGCAGAAATTCAGCCGCAGGTATAATTTTATACGTCTGGAAGTTTTATATAGCATATCTGTATACCTAGCCACTATTCCTGTTTGGATTAGAATTAGACCAAAATCAGCTTGGAACTGCTGGTTGACCCTCCATTTCCAAGCCGATTTTGGTCCCAAATTGAATAATTGGTTTCAATCTCTGGTTCAGAATTTTCAGTTTAGAAGGTTTTGAAGGCCTACTTAATAATACAGTTTTGTTCTGCAACAACTTTTTAAATAGCTTTTGATATTTTGTTTAATTAAAACGTTAAACATTATTTTTTTTACGGTGTTTGGTAATATAGTATTTGAATTAACTCGTAAAAGTAGCGTTTATAAAAGGTCAACCCTTATAACTTTTAACTTTTTAGCTTTTTAAAAAAAAGTTGCTCAAACAGGTAAAAGCTACCAAAACAACTAATTTTGCCGAACATGTCTATAATAAGCTACAATCTAATCGAAAGAGAACATATTCAGGGCTGTGGGCAGCGAAGATGTGTCTCTGAAAATCACACATTGTGGAATCTGCTATGCTGATGTTGGTTCGACAACGAATAAACTTGGATATTCCAAGTACCCTTTGGTGCCGGGGTATGTGTATTGTGTACTAGTAATTGCATTATATGACTGAATTGATGATTCTCTTGAATTGGTTGTGATTTGGCTGCAGACATGAGATTGTTGGAACTGTTAAAGAGGTGGGATCAAATGTCAGCCATTTCAAGGTTGGCGATCATGTCGGAGTAGGTACTTACGTCAATTCTTGCAGAGATTGTGAGTATTGTAATGAAGGGGAAGAAGTTAATTGTGTAAAAGGAATAGTTTTCACTTTTAATGGCATTGATACGGATGGTACAATCACCAAAGGAGGATATTCTAGCTACATTGTTGTTCATCAAAACCAAAGGAGGATATTCTAGCTACATTGTTGTTCATCAAATTACGTCAATTCTTGCAGAGATTGTGAGTATTGTAATGAAGGGGAAGAAGTTAATTGTGTAAAAGGAATAGTTTTCACTTTTAATGGCATTGATACGGATGGTACAATCACCAAAGGAGGATATTCTAGCTACATTGTTGTTCATCAAAGGCAAGTGCTCTATAATTTTATATACTTTCGTGAAAATTATTCTAAAATTATGTAAGAAATGTTCTTGTTTCTTGTTGCCTTATGAAGCAAATTTTATTCCCAAGTTCTTTTTTCAAATTCCTTAAAAATAAGTTTATTTTTCAAATATTTAAAATGAATTTGTTAATAATATAAAAAGACTTGGATGTCATTCAGCCAAACAAGTATATAGAAAGTGAGAGATCTAAAATTTGAAAACTTTGGATTATAAAAGTTTTTACTAATTTGATGAGTGAAGAGGAGAGTCACATGAAAAATTAATTGTATTATAACCTTTTAATATTATTATTATTATTTTTTTTTTGAGATTGAGGAATGCGAATTCAAACTTGTATCTTGTAAGGTCGTATATGTATTTACCAGTAGATTATATTTTGGTGAAAAAAAATAACTATTTTTTAATTTAGACATTTAATTACAATTATACTCATTTAATTTAAATCGAAATGAAAAATAGCTTATTATATGTGTGTATATAACTGCAATGACGGAGCTAGGACAAGGGGTGGCTCTTCCCCTCCAACAAAATTTTTTTTTAAAAAATCACTCATAAAATATTACATTTTTTTTTATTTTGTCCTCTAAAATAGTTAATTTTTTCAATTTCATCCCTTTTCACTCTTGAATTTTTTTAGCTCCCTAATTTTAATTCCTGACTTCACTATATATAATCCCGGTTTTCACGGTCTTGAAATTTTTCTAGTCAGCTCCCGCGTAATGGTCTTAATTCACGCTGCACTCTCACCTTAGTATTATCACTATCATTAAGTATATACTCCACTATTCAATTACTGATAATATATAATGTCGCAACGTTTCATCCCACGGCGTATATTCGAGTTATTCATCAGGGAACTTAACTCTATTATAACCCTCAAACAATGTCTCTCTATTATGAAAAAATAACAATAGATTACGGTTACAATTTTAATTAATTTTTTTCGAGTATGATAAAATGGGAGGTTGAGTATAATTATACTTTTCTGTAATCTTCAGGTATATTGAAAATTATGCTTCAAAATATATATTATTCAAATATAAAATTCAAGTTTAGTTTTTTATTAAATAGACCCAAAAATAGGATTATATTATCAGTTTTTAACAGACATAAAAATGCAGGTACTGCTTTAGGATACCTGATGATTATCCATTGGCCTTAGCAGCACCTTTGCTTTGTGCTGGAATTACTGTATACAATCCCATGATCCGGCATGGCATGAACCGAGCAGGCAAATCTCTCGGAGTGATTGGTCTAGGTGGTCTTGGTCATATGGCTGTGAAATTTGGGAAGGCTTTTGGACTCAAAGTCACTGTCTTGAGCACAACCCTATCTAAAAAAGAGGAAGCTTTGAGTGTACTTGGTGCAGACAATTTTGTTCTCTCTTCTGACCAAGACCAGATGAAGGTAAACTCATATATAAAGCTTTCTTTCATCCTCTTTTCTTTTTAAAAATATTTAGTTAGCCTCATATTGAATATATATAGTTTAATTTAAATCGTAAGATGATAATAAATTCAAATAAAAAATTTGACATTTTTTTTGCAGGCTCTGTCTAAATCACTGGACTTCATAATTGACACATCTTCTGGTGATCATCCATTTGATCCTTTCATGGCTCTTTTGAAGACTAATGGTGTTTTTGTTCTTGTGGCGTTCCCTAGTGAAGTCAAATTCAGTCCTGCAAACCTTAATCCGGGTATTTTTCTCCTGCAATTCTGGTGATCATCCATTTGATCCTTTCATGGCTCTTTTGAAGACTAATGGTGTTTTTGTTCTTGTGGCGTTCCCTAGTGAAGTCAAATTCAGTCCTGCAAACCTTAATCCGGGTATTTTTCTCCTGCAATTTTTAGACTTCGAATCATGATCATTTTGCAGTATTTTTTTTTCTTCTTTTTTTTCTTTTTCTCTTCTGACAATGTTTTGATAGATGACGTTCTGCAATATAACATCGATAGTTAATAAATCCATCATATGTGACTACAATGAAATTGAGTTATAAATTTAACGATCATAGTTATAAGTAATCTATTACTCTATCTGTCACAAAATATAAATCGTCTAATGTTTTTACATGGGGATTAAGGAAACTTTAATTCTTCTAAATTATAATAGAATCAACCATAATTTGATCAAATTATCCATTATTTCAAAATCAGGAATAACTTGTAAAAGTAATTATTGTATCAGATACTCCCTCTTTTCTCAAATACTTTATTGCAACTCAATTTCAAAACTAAGAATAATTTATTGTAACTCAAAACAAATTGAATGATTTTCTCAAGGGACGTGAAATCTCAAATATGACAGTATTTAGAATTTCAGGAATATAAATAAAAATAACATTAGAAAAATATCATTTATTAGTCTTTATAATATCTCAACCCAACTTATATTTTGAGATAAAATAATCATTCTAAAACAACCTATATGTTGGAACAGAAAGAGTACGTTACAGTTAGTTCATTTTCTTTCTAGACAATAGCGGGTAGCTTCTTTTGGCTTGCAAGTGAAATGATAAAATGCTTGTGTGGTGGCAGGTATGAAAAGCATAACAGGTAGCGTTGTAGGTGGGACTAGAGTGACACAAGAAATGTTGGAATTCTGTGCTGCTCATAAGATTTATCCAAAGATAGAAATCATTCCAATTCAGTACGTGAACGAAGCCCTTCAACGAGTGATAAATAAAGACGTTAGGTATCGGTTTGTTATAGATATCGAGAACTCGTTGAAATGAAACCATATAAACAAGTAAAGCTGCAGAACGCCCTTCCAACGAGTGACTAAATAAAGACGTTACCGGTATCGCCGTTTGTTATAGATATCGAGGAAGACTCGCTTTGAAACTGAAACCATTAACTAAAACAAGTAACAAGCTGCCCCACGTCTATATTGCTGCACTCAAGAAATTAACTTCCAACTGGGAATTCTGTGCTGCTCATAAGATTTATCCAAAGATAGAAATCATTCCAATTCAGTACGTGAACGAAGCCCTTCAACGAGTGATAAATAAAGACGTTAGGTATCGGTTTGTTATAGATATCGAGAACTCGTTGAAATGAAACCATATAAACAAGTAAAGCTGCACGTCTATATTGTGACTCAAGAAATTATCCAATGTCTGTTGTTTTATGCTTTTTGTGTCAATTAAGAAAGTATTGGGATGGGAAACAAATATTCTTAAAGACCTTTTTGTCATGAAATAAATGAAATGTCCTGATAATTATAAATTTGCTTATAAAGATAACTGATGATACATCCCTATTTCTATGTTTACTCACTTTTCTACCTTTATATGTATGCTCTTTTGATTGACAAACCAGAGGTGTGATAAGAATGGCTATTTCTAATGTTCTCTCTCCTTAAGGCCTTGTTTGGTTGGATAACTTTGCTCGGGAACTTGACGTTCCCAGGAGGTGAGAAATGTCACCTTGTTTGATTCTCAAAAATATAGAAATTCCCAGAAACTTGAAACTCTTTCTTCCTTGACTGTACGAGAAGTAAGTTATCCCCTCAACCCAAGGAAGTGCACTTCCTGAGCTCTAGAAATTAGAAGAACTCTACCTTGCCCTTGCTTCATAGGTATTTTCAATAAATTATTTCAATTGATATACTCAATTTCATTGTAGGGTTTGTTGACATTTCATATGTAATATTTTATTGACACAAATTTTACTTTTTGGGAAGTCAATATATCAATCAAACATAAGCACACTATATTTCTCATGAAGTAACTTCTCTAAAACTTTACTTCTTGGAATTAAACTTCCCGGAAAGTAAGTGAACTTGAACCAAACGAGGCCTAATTTTTTTTTACTCTATTTTAGTTTACAAGTTATTAGTGTAACTTTGTTGTATCTTGAAGGTATGTACTTTTATATTTTGATCATTTTTTTTTCTTTCGCTCACCAAATTAGAATGCGAATTGGAAATGAGGTAATTAATCATATTTCTAGTTACATTATGTTAAGTGTACCTGAAGTATCATATCATAACGTGTTATATATAAAAAGATTTATTATGAAATCTATAAGTTGACCCTTTCAAGTTTGTTTATTTTATATTGATAACCATGCTTAATTTGAACTTGTAAATATAATCCTAATTTTAGTAGTCATCATGATCGATTTTTTTGCTTGGAGACAATTATTTTCTATTCTATCCTTGTATATGTGTATAATTAACTTTGGACTTATTGATTTTGTTGGCTCTTGCATGCTTTTGTATTTTGGTACATACACAACAATGATGAAAGATACGAAGGTAAATGAGTCGAACTGAGCTAACTTCTATTTAAAAGAATAAACTACTATTTTTGTATAATTACCTGTATAATTACTTGTATATTTATCTCTTCGCCTGTATATTTATCTCTTTATATGATGTATTTATCCAATAGTTACTATATAAATACATACGTGACTGAACCTATGGTCAGATCACTATTTCTCCTCAAAAAGTCTCTCTATGGTATGAGAGCCCTATGAAAATACAAGTTCAATTTCTTTTCTCATAATCATGACTACCACGGCACCTTCCCCCTCTTCAACCTTTTTACTTACTTTTGATTCTTGATATTCAACGACACTATCTTTCTTATTATCTCCATCTTATTCATCTTATTCATAGTCAGTTTTCTCAGTTAGCAATATTAAAAACCATATATCAGAAACTCTTGATTTTACCAATTTTCTATTATGGAAAACACTCTTTCTCAATATTATTCATTGTCATAAGTCACTAAACGTGTAAATGGTTCAGAATCTCCTCCTCCTGCAACTCTTATTAATTCTGAAGGTATCTTTAGTCCAAATATATAAATTGATTCCATTATTTTATCTTGGATCCATACCACGGTTTTTGCTAAGATTCTCAAACATATAATTCAACTTGGCACTGCTCTTTCTGATAAAGAAACATGGGATGAAATTGAGAAGCTTTTTCACGATCATGTCAATGCTAAATACATGCAGCTGAAAATGAGTTTCAGTCAAGCAACTAAAGGCAATCTTTCAATGACAAAGTTTCTCAGTCATGTTAAATCCATTGCAGATCAACTTCATGCTATTGGTTGTCCAGTTAAAAATGATGATGTTATTCTTCAGATACTCTCTGGCCTACCATAAGAGCATTCTGATGTTGTGACAACTATGACTGCGACAAAAGCACTCCCTTCCTTTCCAGAACTTCGGTTATTTCTATTAGCACATGAAAGTCGCGTGTTAAAATTCTCATCTTCAACATCTAATGAAAGTTCTCAAGCTTTGTGATGACTCGGTCGCGTTAATAGAGGTGGACATGGACAGTCTAATAGGGGTGGTCGTGGACGGTTTGGTCGAGGACAACAGTAGTGGTTTTCTAATTCCAATTTTAATTCACCACATCAGTTTCAATTTTCAAACATTTCACCATATAGCCAATCCTATTCGCAACAATATAATTGCGCACCCTGGTCCGAGGACCAACAGTACCGTGGTTTTCCTTAATTTAAAGAAACATGGGATGAAATTGAGAAGCTTTTTCACGATCATGTCAATGCTAAATACATGCAGCTGAAAATGAGTTTCAGTCAAGCAACTAAAGGCAATCTTTCAATGACAAAGTTTCTCAGTCATGTTAAATCCATTGCAGATCAACTTCATGCTATTGGTTGTCCAGTTAAAAATGATGATGTTATTCTTCAGATACTCTCTGGCCTACCATAAGAGCATTCTGATGTTGTGACAACTATGACTGCGACAAAAGCACTCCCTTCCTTTCCAGAACTTCGGTTATTTCTATTAGCACATGAAAGTCGCGTGTTAAAATTCTCATCTTCAACATCTAATGAAAGTTCTCAAGCTTTGTGATGACTCGGTCGCGTTAATAGAGGTGGACATGGACAGTCTAATAGGGGTGGTCGTGGACGGTTTGGTCGAGGACAACAGTAGTGGTTTTCTAATTCCAATTTTAATTCACCACATCAGTTTCAATTTTCAAACATTTCACCATATAGCCAATCCTATTCGCAACAATATAATTGCGCACCGACCTTTTTCTCCAATCGTGGTCATGGCAGCGGGCAATCTTCATTCTCCACTCAAAGTCCTAATTACACCCAGTCCATTTTAGGTCAACCACCAACCTTGTGTCAATTGTGTGATGCTTTTAACCATACTGTCAAAACTTGTCCTAACCGAAATATTCATGATCAGTCATCACCTTTTGCTGGCCTTCACTTTAATGGAAACTCAGAAACCACCTTTGTGTAGCATACTAATACCGGTGCAACTCACCATATGACCGATAACCCAAGTCCTTTATATTCGTATTCACCATATTATGGCACAGATAAGGTTCACATTGGCAATGGTAAGCAACTTGATATCACACGTATTGGCCATAAAATTTTTCCCACTCAATTTCGAAAATTGATTTTAAATGAAGTTTTGGTTGTTCCAAAAATTTGCAAAAATTTAATTTCAGTTCGTCGTTATTCTAAAGATAATTTTTTTTCTGTAGATTTTGATTCTCTTGGTTTTTCTGTCAAGGAACATCCGACACAGGACACAATCACTCGTTGCAATGATTCTGGTCTCTTTATCCGTTTACTGCTAGTGCTTGTCTTTCTTCTTCGCCATCAGCATTGTTTTCAAACAAAACATCTCCAAACTTATGGCACCATCGATTGGCACATCCAGGAATTAAAGTCTTTCCTCATTTTTTGAATAAAAATTCAGATTTGGTTGGTGTAGGAAAATTTGATAATCTTTTCAATTCTTGTCAACTAAGAAAACATGTCAAACTTCCGTTTGATGAGTCCAATCATGTAACTCATCATCCTCTTGAAATCGTACATACTGATACTTGGACATCTCCTATTAGTTTCTCTTTTTAGTTTCAAATATTATGTGTCGTTTCTTAATGACTTTAGCAAATATTGTTGGATTTTTCCCTTAAAATTCAAGTCTGAAGTGTTTTCAAAATTTCTTGAGTTTAAAACCATGATTGAAAAAATAAATTCCTTGTAAACTCAAGCAATGTCAATGTGATAGTGGTGGAGAATTTCAAAATTTTCAATTTTAAAATTTTTTTAAAGACCACAAAATTGTTCAACGATTTTCATGCCCACAAACTCCTCAGCACAATGGCCAGGCCGAGCGAATGCACAGAACTCTTTTAAATGCTATGCGAACAATGTCTATACATGTCAATTTGCCACCTCAATTTTGGGTGGAAGCCTTATATACTGCTGTATATACTTCGAATAAATTACCACACTCATCAATTTCATTCCAGGTCTCACATGAACTTTTGTTTCGTACCAGACCTAACCTGTCCATTTTAAGAGTTTTTAGGTTATTGTGTTTCCCTCACATCACAAATCCATTCCAAATAAACTTGAACGTAGGTTTAGAGTCTGCATTTTTCTTGGGTATACCGATAATCACAAGGGATATAGGTGTTTAGAATTGTCCACCAATAAAACATTTATCTCACGCCATGTTACCTTTAATGAACTTTCTTTTCCTAGAACCTATTGCCTTTTTACCCTTAGGCAAAGTAGTCAACTCCCAAGTACCATTCAATTCTAAGGCATTCAATTCTTCTGTCATAGCTTGGATCCAATGAGGATCTTTTGATGCTTGAAGGTATGTGGTTGGTTAAGGAATCTTACTAACTTTAGTCATAAAGGCAAGGTGTTTAGAAGAAAAATTACATGGTGAAACTGAGATTGCAACAGAAGCATTAGAGATGGCAGCATGTACAAAATCTTGAAGCCACTAAGGTTTGTGTGAAACTCTAGTACTTCTTCTTAGAGGAACAGTAACAGAAGTAGAAGAAAGACTCACAGATGGAAAATCAGGAGTAACGGGATCATTATTAGGAGACACGTGCAGAATCTGATACAAAAATATGGGGAGCTGGTAGACACAAGTGAACTAGAAGATGTAGAGTCTGAAGCTATGGGTACAAGAGGTAAAGAAGGAGAGGTATCATAAGAAATATTTTGAAAAGGAAATTGATCCTCAAAAAATTGAACATCCCTACTTATGAAAACTTACCTAGTAGTCAAATTGTATGATTTATAACCATTGAGTGACAAGAAGAATAACCAAGAAAAATGGATTTAATAACCCTAGGATCAAATTTGTCTTTTTGAGGTATATAATGTTAGTAGCATAGAAAAGACAACCAAAGACCCTCAAATGAGCATAATCAGGTGAATGACCATGCAGTTTTGAATAAGGAGAATCCCAATGAAGGGCAGCCATAGGTAACCAATTGATGAGATATGTAGCATTCATAACACATTCTGACAAAAATTTCTCTGGTAAGGAAGATTAGAAAAATAGAGCTCTAGCAACATTTAGCAAATGCCTATGTTTTCTTTCAACTATCCCATTCTGTTGAGGAGTGTATACATAAGACTTTTGGTGAATAATACCTCTAGAAGAAAAAAGAGTTTGACAATCCTTGCTAAGAAATTCAGATCCATCATCAGTCCTAAGAACCTGAATTTTAGAATGATATTGAGTTTCTATTTGATTAATGAAAGAATAGAGGAAAGAATAGGTTTGACTCTTATGTTGCATCATATAAGTCCATGTGGCTCTAGAAAAGTCATCAATATGGTAAGGAAAAATCTAGCACCACAAATAGAAGTAACAGCATAAGGACCCCATATGTCAACATGAAGAAGTGCAAAGGGATGTGTAGTTTGAATAGGAATCTTTGCAAAACGCAATCTAGTTTGCTTAGCTAAGGGACAAACAGAACATGAATGTGATTTATCAACCAGGTGTTTCAAAGCATCAACATGTAATAGTTTGTTAATAAAAGTATGACCTAATCTAGCATGCCAAGTAGAAAAAGAAGGATTAGAAACTGTAGTGAATGAAAGACGGTTCTCTTTATTAAGATGCCAAGTAGAGAACATGGTATTTACAAATGTCGTAGAACTGAGATCACTGAGAAAAGAACTAATGTAAGATGGAGAAAAACTATTGTGACCAAGTTTGTAAAGACCACCATCCATCTTGCCTGCTGCCACCACTGTATTAGTCAGCAGGTCATGAAAAAGGCAACAGGAAGGGTAAATAATTATAAGCAAATGGTTGTTAGATAAGATCTTGCTAACAGAAAGTAAGTTGAACTTCAAAGCAGGAATGTACAAAACATTCAAACAAAGTAAAAGAAGAGTTTAAAACAACTGAACCTGATTAATGTACATGACAAAGAGAATGATTGGGCGAAAAAATTGGAATAGGTTTGGCAAGATTAGTAAGAGAATGAAACAGAGAGAGTTTAGGAGATAAGTGATTAGTAGCTCCTGAATTTATAATCTGATCATCATCAGAACAATCATACAAGGCAGACAAATGATAATATTTAATGAGATGAGGAGATATACCCTAAAATAGAATCAGAATTGAGTGATTGGCCATCCTCAAGCGCAACAGATTTAATTTCCCTTTCATTAGTTTCATGACCTCTTGATGAAAAGAATTAGTCAATGAAGTCTCCAAAGTTGAGCTCCACTCACCATCACAAAGAGAAAGATCCAATGTAGTGGTAGTATTAACATGAGTTGCCACTCTAGGAGAATACTCAAATGGCTTGTGATTAGAATTGAAACTAATCTTTGGCTTATGATTCTTAGAATGATCAGGAAATCCAATCAACTTATAAAAACGTTCCTTTGTGTGCCCATCCCAGTTGCAATAATCACAGTGTCCATATGGTATAGAAAAACAAGATTTTCCTTTCCTAAAATCTGGATAGTGAGTACATGCAGTCTTAGCACCTAGATCAACACTATCAACAGTCTCATTTATGTTAGAAGTCACCAATCTTTGAGATTCAACACGCAAAACCATGTAGTAACCTTATTCACTCTAGGTAAAGGATCTAAGATCAGAATCTGACTTCTGACTTGATCGTAACTATCATTAAACCCCATCAAGAATTGCATCAACTTATCTCTATTGGACAAAGCAACAAAATGAGATGTTGTCCCACAAGTGCAAGCAGGCACAAGCTCTATACTACTCAGCTCATCCCAGAGAGCCTTCAATTTCGTGTAGTAAGTTGAGATAGAAGCATTAGCCTAAGAGACAAACGCAATATTTCTTTGGATTTGGTAAATCATCGGTCCATTACTCTCACCGAATCGCTCAGCAAGCTCAGTCCATAATTCTTTCGAATTTGTGGTATAGAGAAAAGATTCAACCATCTCCTTAGAAATCGAGTTAAGAATCCAAGATGTGACCTGAAATCACATCTCTGCCACACATCAAATTCAATTGAACCTTCAATTGGAATTTCTACTTTCCCATCGATAAACCCTAACTTAGATTTCGCTCCCAACGCAATACGCATTGCCCTACTCCAAGTCCTATAATTACTATCAGTTAAAGGAGAGGAGACGAGAATCATACTAGATTATCCGAAACTTGAAGGCTAAACGGATCTCCATAGCCACTGCGAGTTGAGTTAAGGTTTGTTCCGCCAGAATTGTTCTCTCCAGACAAGCTTGTATCCATGATTTCCACCATGTTTAAGATCAAACAGAGAAGAAATCACAGAGAAGCAAAGAAAAACAATTTCATAAGAAGAATCCCACAAATCGAGCTTCATGCTCTAATACCATGAACAAATTAGCGAGAAAACGAAAGTTAGGAAAAAAAGATAATTCTTTATTATGATATGATAATTGGAGATTACAAAGTGTTATATCTAAATACAACTGTAAAGGCTAAAATAACTATTATTACAAAAGTGCTAGTAACTAATTAAATTATAAATACATTTTATTCTAATAGAGTCTTCAGTATATAGATAGATAGATTGATGCAGATGTAATTTCTTTTTAATGCCAACAATTCAAGTGTGACATTTTGACTATGGCTAAATATTTGGCCTCCTGTATAAACTCAACTCTATATTTTCTGTGATTATCATTGTGGCTCCTCAAACTTTATCGGAGATCCATCACTAACTATATACTTCTACATTTCAATAATAATTATTTTTCTTGGTAAAAATAAAATGTAAAAATGCAAAGTAATAATTGAATTCTTACAAAATTATTTCATTTTAGTGAGGAATATAGTTATTACTGAAATATTAAAAATGTAAAATCATGATTAAGCTTCAGCAAAATTCATGGAGTCATAAAAAAAAGGGTCAAAATTCAAGTTCAAATTGATAGATTAGGACCTAAATATTTATCACGATCCTTCTTGGAAAGTTAGTGCAGAACATGTTCCTTCTTGCAAGTTGTGGTGAGTTTCTTTCACGCTAGGTTGAAGTTATTCTCACTCTTTTTTAATTTTCTTCTTCCCATGACAGAAAAGTCACAAGCTGCCAAGTATGTGAAAAGAACCAAAAATTAACTTACATTTGTTAGCCATTGTTTCACACACAAAACTTAAATACAACTGATAATGTTTCGAATTTAACATTGTAAATCTTAAATTTCAAATCGAACTCAATGACAAACCACTGAAAAAATAATAAAAATACACAACTTAAATGCTACTAATAAAAGAAGTAGGACTTGGAGGAATTGGGATATCAACCGTCCCTTCCAACATCAGCAAAACCTTTTTCATTGAAGGGCGAAGAGATGGTTCATCTAAGGTGCACCAGAGTCCAATTTTAATCATTCTATCCATTTGCTTCATATCAACTTCTTCATCACCACTCACTAGTTTCTGTATTTCACCAGCCTCAAAACAATTGTAAACCCAATCCACAAGAACACATTCATTTTCTTGTAGGCTATGATCCACATTCCTTCTGCAACTGGCAATCTCCAATAACATAATTCCGAAGCTATAAACATCTGCTTTAACTGTCACAGGCAACTTCCGATGCCATTCCGGCGCAACATATCCTCTTGTTCCTCTAATTACTGTGTTAGTGTTTGCTTGACCAGGCTTCAGTAGTTTTGCCAATCCAAAATCAGAGATTTTTGGATTGTTAGACTCATCCATTAGTATATTCTCTGGTTTAATGTCACAATGGATGATTTGTGCGTCACATTCTTCATGTAAATAGAGTATGCCTTTTGCTATTTTTCGCGCAATATCCACCCTTTCCGCAAAACAAGGTCTATTTTCAGATGATGAGAAAAGAACATGAGCAAGAGATTTATTAGACATGTATTCATATACTAAAAGCCTATTAGACCCTTCATTGCAATAACCCAGTAAGCGAACAAGATTCTTGTGATGTGTTTTCCCTATCACTTTCACTTCAGTTTGAAACTCTCTTTCTCCTTGGTCTAACATGCAGTCCAATTTCTTTACAGCTACGAGTTTTTCTAAACCTGTAGATGTTACTACTCCTTTGTAAACTATCCCAAATGAACCTCTTCCAATCTCTTCCTTGAAATCATCTGTCATTTTTTCAAGTTTTTCTAAAACCTGTAGGATGTTTCCAATTTCTTTACAGCTACGAGTTTTTCTAAACCTGTAGATGTTACTACTCCTTTGTAAACTATCCCAAATGAACCTCTTCCAATCTCTTCCTTGAAATCATCTGTCATTTTTTCAATTTCTAAATATGTAAAAGGCCGAAGAGTAATTTCCTCACTTAATCCAATATGCTGATTGTTAGATATCCTTTCATATGCCCGTGAATGGTATTTATGCATAGCAACACCTGAAATTGCTAATATAACAAGCCCAAATGCAATAATTGAAATACTAACAATCAGCATACTTTTACCAATCTTATTACCACCCTTTTTCTCTATAGGATCATCAACTGATCTGTTTGTTGTGCCAACCTTGATCAAAGCTGAGTTTGACTCGGACTGATCCCTTCTCCCGTATCTTAAAGGCAATCGTTGCTTTCTACATTGGCTGCCTTTAAAAAATGCAGCATCACAATTACAATCCTCCAAACAAGCTTTCTCACAATCTTCTTTAATGGATACTGAAATGACAGAATATGGATTATCATCCCATCCAGTATTAGCAAGTTCATGAATCCTAATATCAGAAGTCATTTCATCACTATCATCATTTTTGCAACTTTTTGCCACGAAACTTCTCTGACAGCCAGCACTCCAATTCCCTTCTATAACAAACCCAAATCCTGGAAGGCATTCACAATCAGGCTCTTGATCATTCAAAATACAATAGCTATTAAAACCACATAATCCTTTAGGATTACATTTATCATATCCTGATGCCCATAAAACAGACCAATTTCCATTATTACTCAGATTGTGTGAATATAGTCTGAATATGCCATCAATATCTATTCTCATTAAGTAAATATATCGCATTGAAAATCCTCCTGATGTGAGATTCATTATGTTGAAGCCAGTTGAATTTAGCAAGTACAGCAAGCCATCAGGACTTAAGTTTAATGTTACATTATCTCCAGACCCAGCTGTTTGTGTTGCATAATAGGAATCTGTAGGGATTCCAAATCCTATCGGATATTGAACAAGATTTCCATCATTTTGCATGATTAAGCGAAAATTTCCAGTTGAGTGATCATTCTCTGAAACAGAAGAAAATAATGTTGAGCCAGCTTTAAGACGTTGAGTTTGCAAAAGGGTATCTGTTGGATGGTCAAAACTTTGCCATATTACTTCATTATCAGAATTATAAATCATAAAATTGCCTGAATCAGACATTGAAGCTAATGAAGCTGTTTGTGAAGTAGAAATAACGACAGAATTGCTTGGTCCTCGTAAAAGAAGACCAATGGAGCTTGAAAAGACTAAGGTAACATCACTAGATATTGGAGGATCGTTCCGGTTGGCCGTCCAGACAACCGTTTTTTGAGGAATTCCGGCGAGAAATATACCAATAGCATAGCCATTGGCTTTTTTGTAAAATCCAAAGGCGTAAAGACCAGAAGGTGAAAGCCAAGAGGAGTTTTTGTTTGGTGTTAATGAAGATCCTATGGTTATGTTTGTAAAATCCAAAGGCGTAAAGACCAGAAGGTGAAAGCCAAGAGGAGTTTTTGTTTGGTGTTAATGAAGATCCTATGGTTATGTTAGACTGTTTTTTCTGAGATAAAGCTGTGAAAGATGACAAAGACAGAAACAGAAAGAAAAATGAGATGGAAGCCATGGAAAAAGTTATGAGCTTCCATGTGCCTTAAGGTATTTAAAGTGCCATTGTACTTGAGTAGTCTGTATAATTTACAAATTTAATATAGTGAGTACCCTTTAGTGGATCCATTTAGATAAATAAATAATTTTGACGCGGATACAAATGAGGTCCATGGAACTTACCCAGCCAAAAATATGGAAACAGTCAAAATTGTTTCAAAATCCTGGCAGACGCGCTCTTTACTTCCATTTTGTCGTGGTGATTCATTGTGCTCAAGCGTAAGAGACAATTGAAGATCAAGTCAAAGCGAAATTAATTAATGCAGAAAGAGATAACAATTTATTGAAAGTCGTTCAACTCTGTTGATTTTTCTTCTTCGCATGACAGGAGTCGCGAGTTGCTAATGTTGTAAAAGAATTAATGAAAAATCAACCACATTAAGTTTTTTTGAATTAGACTACTTTCCTAGACTTGGTCTATATGAATTAAACTAGTGTTCTTTATATACTTGATTAAAATAGAATACATGATAGTAAAACATTCTACTTACCCATAATTGACGTAGTTATCATATAGGAAGCTAGATTAACTTACCACCTCTATTCATATGGCAAAAAATTATTAGCAATACTAATATTATATTTAGTCTTTTTGTTTAAGTACTGGGAGAGGGGGATTCAAACCCAAATTTATCGACGAGTCGTATATACACTTACCACTCGGTTATGCCTTGGTATATATATTATATTTAGCTAATATAAGTAATATTCAAATAGATAAATTACCTATCATTATTGTAAACCATAATGTAATTATATGAAATATGGAGATATATTCATAATTATCTTTTCCAACCCGTTTACTTATTATTATCCAAGACACTATCTGTCACAACCCATTTCCATGGACCGGACCGGCACTAGGACCTGGGTGGGCTTAAGACCCCCGAAACCCGTAGTAAGCCTGTATTACTTAAAACTCGCATTCTATTCCCAATTGTGGATTCAGGCCCAATAATTTATTTCACAAATATATCTCAATTGTTGGATTCAGGCCCAAATAATTTGTTATTTCACAAAATATATCCGAAAGTACAATCCAAATAATAAATTGTTCTATACTCTATTTATTCATTACAACTCAGTTTGGAATACAAATTGCGGAACTCTACTCAATAATTCACTATCTTTGCATTTAGCATTTACATATTCAATACAATGATTATTACTCCTATCAATCCGTATCTCGTTCGTTCGATTGGACTCCAGGATTCTTCTTTCCATTTATTACCTGCGGAGGGTTGGAGGGGGGGGGGTGAGTAATAAACTCAGTGAGTTGGATTAGATAACCCTCTCACCCCACACAATTATACAAATGCTAAAATATTTTCATGTGGTCACCCGTTTAGTTATATGATCATACAGTTTGTCACACAAATGGCAATACAACAACAATCACAATTATTGTCACCTTCATATAATCATATCACGTGGAAATTAGTCAGTTGAGTCACCGAAACCCGATGAGCCGTCCTCCCACATGGCCCATCCACTCACATGTGCACTAGGGAGCCAATCCCCCATTCTGGCTGACCGGTATAACGGAGCCAATCCCCCATTCTGGCTGACCGGTATAATCCTCACACTGCCGGTCCTCTGATTATTTTTCCAGTCTCTCTCTCTCTCTCTTTTTTTTTTAATATCGACAGGCGGCATCCCGGTCGTCTCCCTCAAATCTAGATCATCAGGTGCACACAACATGAGGCCACCCTGCGGCAGCGATCAAATCTAGATCATCAGGTGCGCCCAAAGAGGCTACTCCGTGGTTTCCATATAATCCATATTATCAGGTGCACACGGGGGCGCCGATCTAGCATTTACCCGGCCAAATTTCATATCATATTCAGGATCCATCATATCACATATACCCATTCTCACAAAACCATTGGTGACCCACTTCAATCCCAATCCACACAAACAAGGCAACAGACAAATATTCACATCACAGGTAAGTCAAGCAATATTTAATATCAACAAAAATAGTGCATCACAAAATATTGGCCAATAATTGCATGATTAACATTAACATTTAGCCGTGAATGCATGAATGCAGGCGGATGATGCGAATTATCTAACACTACTCACAGTTCTTTACTGTCCTTTAAAGGACTAGCTTTATTTTTACACGCTTCCAACATTTGTCTTCACCTTTGGGGACTTTATAAACATCTAACATAATAAGAGAATTCTACATAAGAGGTCTAATTCGAGAAACGTATTTTTACCTTACTTATTAGTTTTGGTTACTACTCCCTTTACTTATCTATATATATATATAGTTTCCCTATTTATTTATTTATTCTAATTTATACCCTTTTTAATAAATCGTCTAACTATAGTAATAATAATAATCATTAAGAATACGATTCGTTTAAGTAGGATTTTATCATGAGAATAATAATAATAATAATAATAATAATAAGAATACGATTCGTTTAAGTAGTATTTTATCATAAGAATAATAATAATAATAATAATACCAATTAAATTTTACTTGATATTAACCTACAATCATACTTCTATAATACCATTAATTACCTGTTTATACTATAAATTATAATTCCTCCTATTTATATTTCTTGAGATTCTGTATATTAACTTATATAATTATTAGCTAGAATTCTTATTTCAATATCAATCTTATAACTAATATTCAAGAACTATATTTAGCAATGTTCAATTTAATTCACTTAAATACTCTCAATTAATTCATTAATTAATTAGTTTGGGATTTATACCAAAAATCGCAATTTGAGTCTTAGAGCGTACCGATCGAAAATCGGATTTTGTCTTTGTGATCCGCGCGGAGAGGAGAGCATTTTGTCTCTTGAAGCCTTGCCGGAGTGTCGCCGGCAGGTCGCCGGGCCACCGCCGTGCACGGCGGTCGGAGAAGCAACCTTTGCCCAGAAATTCGCCACGATTATACCATTCAACTCGAAATTCACCAAGGATTCCATTTCTAGTGTTAATTTAGTGAGATCGGTCCTCTAATTGGCCGGCTCGAAATTCACCAAGGATTCCATTTCTAGTGTTAATTTAGTGAGATCGGTCCTCTAATTGGCCGGATCGGGCTTGGCAGTGGTCTAACGCCACTTTCATCGTTGTCGCCAAATCCAGAGCAAGCGACTACAACTCACCCTTGTTCAACGCTCGTCATCGATGGAGGAGGTGACTGGAGCTGATCGCCGGGGAATCGAGCTGGAGACGCAATACGATTTCCGTCCATGAGCTCGCAAGCCTTCTGCGACTACTGGGTACATAGGAACGAAAGAGAGACAGAGGATCGGAACCGCTGCAGCGAGAAGGTGATGGCGAGGAAGCGAGCTTAATCGGCTCCGGTGGCTAGAACGGGAAGGGAAGGAGGAGAAGGAGGAAGTCGCACGATCCAAGGGAAGGAGAATAAGAGAAAAGAGAGAAAAAAAGAGAGAAGGCGATTCTAGAGGGTTCTGGGCCATTCCGGTTCGATTTGAATCGGTTTGGTCTAAATCAACAGGTTAGCCCAACTTTACTTGGTTTACAAGATTTTCATCTAGTTTACAGATCCGGTTTGGTTTATTATTAATGTAATTAGGTTCTATAACATTTCTTCCATTTACACAATATTAATATTAATAATCATGATATTCGATTTTTTTTTAAGATAATTAATTCATATAGTAAACACACTCACATTTACATATTTAAAATACATTAATAGTTAAGGCTCCATATTCATTCTTGAAAATATCTAAAGGTTCTCAACCCGGTAATTCCGATAATGTGTTTTAGGCTTAAGCCCAACTTGCAATTTAGGCCCAGATTGTAATTGCTCAATACTTACAGCCCATTTCATCAAAAATTTGGATTTTTGATTTATTAAAAATTCAAAAATTTTGAAAATAAAAATTCAGAGTATCACAATCTCCCCCCTTAAGACAATTCATCCTCGAATTGAAATCTAGTAAGAAGGAATATGAAGAACACATAGTCGATATTCAAGGTCGTACGAATTACTTCAAGTACTGAGTGACAACTCAAGGGCGAAAAACACTGATCGAGGAAAAGAAGCAAGTGAGGTGTTCTAATTGTACCTTTTCCCCCAAAAATTTTGTTCTAGTGTTCGGTATCAACCACCTATAAGTTTATAAGAAATTCAGTCCTATTACCTTAATCTCCACTACTATCCTCATACAACTACCGATATTCTTAGAAAATCTTTCTCTAAATAAAATTCTTACAATTAACTGAGTTTTACAATACAATGCATAACATATATTTTTCCCCAAGATTATTTAATTTACAAATTTAACTTTATTACTGAAATAATCTGAATTTTTATTTTCAAAAATTATCCAATTTAATTTAATGAACCGACAGCCTGGAAATTAATTTCAATATTTTAATGCGAATACTGTGATAAGCCAAACCGAAAACCGATTGAAAAAATCCAAAAACCAATTGAAAACCAAAGATTTGGGCCGAATCGAACTGAATCAAATTGAATCGAACCGGTTCGACCCAAACCATCTAGAAACTTCCTCCTCTCTATATTCAGCGCTCACCCCTCATCTCTCACACGCCTCCAGTTAGCCATCGGCGACCCATAACCTCCCCAGCCACCGCCTCCCTACTCCTCTTCCTCCTCTTTTTCTTTCCTTCTTTCTTTTCTTTTCTTTTCTTTTCCTTCTTTCCCTTCTTCCCTGCGTCTGCGTCGAGCTCAGCCAGCATCAGCAGAGACGCAAGCCACCTCCACAAGCTCAGCCAGTCGCACCACCTCCATCACACGCCAGCATCGTCTCTCTGCTCCTCCGCGCGCCACAGCCAGTAGCTCTGCTCTCTGCCAGATCGCGTAGCGCACGGCAGCAGCACGATCTCCACCTTGTCGCGCCACCACCGTTGCCCTGCTGCTCCGCCACTGCTCTGCCACAACAGATCGCGCCTCTACCGACGTCACAACAGCTTTGCCGCTGCTCCAGTGCATCTACGACCACCGCTTCACAGTTCCAGCGTGTGTACTTCGATCCGACACGCGTAAGAATTCCCGATCTAGCGAAAATTCGACAAAAGATTATATTTTGGGGTAACCAAATTAATGTTAATAATTTTAGTTAATTGCATTAATTTTATTATTGTAGTTAATTATTTTAGTTAATTTAATTTAGTCATTGTGAGTAGTTAAATTAAGTTAATTTAATTTTCAGTATTGATTTATAATATAAGTGTTGATTCAATTAAAATCCTTTGATTAATTTGTTGAGGAATTTTGATATGAAATGAGGAATTGAGAATTAAAGGTAATGTTGATATTGGTATTAAGATGGAGGTTGGGAAAATTAAATTGATTGATTGCCTGATGGATGGGCTGTGTGGTTTGGAGTTATTAGATAAATTGTTGCTATTTTAACATGTGGATAGTCCAATTTTTAGGGGAGATGGTGCCGAAATTTTGGTAGAAAATAAAATAAATTTTGGTAGGAAATAAAATAGATTTCAGAAGAAAATAAATAAAATAGAGTTCGGTATTAAAATAAAAATTTATTACAGAAAAGAAATTAAATATCGAGATTAAATTACGTAGAAAAATTTAGAATATGAAATAAAATTCTTAGAGTGGTAAAGAAACATTTTGGTCTGATTGAATTATTCTTTTTTGGTGTCATTCTTACTTTGCTTAGATCGCTCGAGTCCATCTAGTGCTCCTCCTGGACAGAATCAAAGCTAGAACTTCGCTCTCCATCACTGTGGGTAATAATAAATAATGCAGATTAACATGCATTTGCATAGCATTTTTTTTTACAAACCTTATATATACTTTTATATTAAACTCATATTTATTTTATATTGTATAATTGTATATTTGGATGGATTTGGTGTAATACATTGAAAGAATTGTTTGATTAATTGTGCTGTGAATATATTGTGCCTTGTTTGTGTGGAATTGGGATGAAGTGGGTCACCATGGGTTTGTGAGACCCATCTTAGTGTCCTCCTGGACAGATCAAAGCCTAGAACTTCGCTCTCCATCCACTGTGTGGGTAATAATTAAAATAATGCGAGATTAACATGCATTTGACATAGCATTTTTTTTTACAAACCTTATATATACTTTTATATTAAACTCATTTATTATTTTATATTGCTATAATGTGTATATTTGGGATGATTTGGTGAATACATTGAAGAATTTGTTTGATTTTAAATGTGCTGTGAAGTATATTGTTGCCTTGTTTGTGTGGAATTGGGATGAAAGTGGGCAGCCATGTGGGTTTGTGAGACCGTTACCGTTATATGGATCCTGATTATGATTAGCCGGGTAAATGGGAGATCGGCGCCCCCGTGTGCACCTACCGTTACTGTTAACCACACGTTGGCTTCTTTTATTGGGCGTACCTGATAATCTAGATTTGATAGCAGCCCTCAAGGTGGCCTCCTGTTGGCATATAAAAAAAAAAAGAGAGAGAGAGACTGGAAAAAAAATATATATATAATCAGAGGACCGGTCGTGTGAGGATTATACCAGTCAGCCAGAATGGGGGATTGGCTCCCTGGTGCACATGTGAGTGGATAGGCCATGTGGGAGGACGGCTGGGAGGACGACTCATCGGGTTAGCGACTCACTCACTAATTCCACGTTGATGTGATTATTTGAAGGTGATATTGTTTGGGTTACTGATAATGGATGCCATATGATTGGACTGTTGTGTACATTCAGTATCCAGGGTTGCATATGTGTGACTGTGTGTGACTGTTTGTGATGTGTATTATTTATTATTATTCACTGAGTTGCAAAACTCACCCCCCCAAACAAATCTCCCAGGTACTAGGAAGTTGCCGGTTCGACTGAAGCTCTGCACTCTTCTTCGCAGAGTCATAAATGTAAAAGTTATATTCCTGTTATTTAATTTGGATTGTATAAATTATTTTTTTTATCTGATTATTAGTGAACTCCGTAGTTATAGGGTTGTGTATTAATATTGGACTTATTGTTAGCACTACACTATAAATTGAATATTATGTAATTAGCTGCAGGTGAACCAATAAGCCCATAATGTGATTATAATTTATTGTGAAGCCCCTGGGTCTATTAATTATGTGTTTTGAGATTCGGGCCCAAATGTTTTGTATATGGGTTACTGTTTTTGATTGAAATTGGGGAAAAGATAGTAGACAGATTGGTGGATAATTTAGGCTTACTACAGGCCTCGGGAGCCTTAAGCTTACCTGGGCCTTAGTGCCGGTCCGGTCCGGTCCACGGAAATGGGTCGTGACAATTACACATCCCTTCATGAAAACCAATCGTATCATTTACAAAAAGCAAAACAAATTGAAATTACATTTCTATATAATAAGAATTAACTCACTTTACTGGCATATATTATTATGAAAGCTCTACTAAATCAAAAGTTTAAAAATTATTGTCTAATTCGAAATTTCAAGAAAATCGTATTTGTAATTTCCGTTGTCTATAGTTTCATAAGCCATCCCTGCACTATTAAATAGTTTATTTACTCAGGGCATCCCCGCACTATTAGTTATCTTACTCTATAGGGATCTCCACACTTTCTATTTAATCATCGTACTTACGTCTAACACTTATTCCTTAATTATCTTAACATGTATCATTAAAAGTTGACTTTCATAATAACTTCTCATTTTACTTATGTTGCTTATTAATTCATCTTAAGGATATTGAAGCATACTTATTAAGTTTTCTTCCACTTAGTTTCTTTATACTACGAATCATGATTTTTCACGGCTTATCCGATCACTATCGTTTTCAACCTAATATTTATTATTTCAATAACAGCTGCTTAAGCCGTTATCACTATCGTGTTTCACCCTAATATATTTATTATTTTCAATTAACAGCGTTCTTGAAGTCCTCTACCTACGCTGCCTGTCTTACAATACCGACTCATTCACACCAACAGTACGTAGAGCATGAGGGGAAACGAGTGATGAGCGTGCAGCGTAGGAATAATCATCACTAACTCACATGTTCTCAATTTTCAAACACCACTCTTGAGTCACTTTAAAAAAAATTTAATTCACTGTTTCCGATATGAAAGTTCTGTATAAACTTAATTATATGAAAAATAGCTAACCAATGTCCCATCCACATTCTCTAAACTACATAAGCTAATTGTATATTATTTTTTCCCAACTTTAAGTACTTTAAATATAGGTATCAAAATATGAATCAAGTAATCTCATCCTTACTATAATTTCATGTCTAGCAAGGTTATTTATTAATTTCACTTACAATTATATCCATATTTAATGTACTATATCTACTTCCAATAGTTTTCCAGGTTAGCAATCTAAGGCCACCTTATTTATGTCTAGCAAGGTATTTATAATTTCCTTAAATTTATCCATTTAATCTTATCGACTCTAGTTTCTCAGGTTAGCACAAGGCCACCTGGTGTTATTATCTCAACCTCAACTAATCTCAACCTCAACTAATATAAACTAATAATTGTACATTTCACTAATTTAATAACTATTCTCGGACTTTCCTCTTGAAGTTTAATTGTTTAATAAATTTATGGGTTGTTTACATCTATTATTGTTATCATTTTTAGATAGCCCCCTAATCAATTTAAGTCAAAGCATTGTCTCACAGAAGGATCAACTTCGAATATTCTTTTTTTTTACCGACAACCATCCTATCAGGATTTAAATTTATTAATTTTAATATTTATCGAAGAGCCCGAAAAAATTAATTGTCCCATATTTAAATTGTATTGTATTAATATATCTTTTAACTTCGAAATATCCCCTAGAGTTGAATAATTTTCTTTTGATCTCGTGAATTTCCTGAAAGTTTAAATTTACATATCAAGTCTCTTTAATTCTAATTTGTCACAATTCATTATAGTCTAAAACGCATAGTACTAAAAATTTTAGTTCTTACTGTATCAATCTCTAAGTTTTATTGATTTGTATCTCTTATTCTTGAGAAAATTTCTATCTCTCATAATATAACTTTTTATCAAATGGGTCTACTAAGGACTTATGAGCAATTTAAGAGTCTTCATTTACTAATATTTTCGATATACATTGTTTCACCAATATAAATAATTAGATTAATCATTTAGTCAAAAATTCAACTAATCAGTTGACAACTATAGTCTAGGTTGACCATTCTATGGGTAACTGACTATAAAAAATTTTCAAAATCATTTTCCCTTTCCACTAAAAAACATCCGCATGTCACTCATACAAAATTTTGAAATTCTTTGAATAGAAATTTGCATTTAACTTTTATTTCATTTTAAGACCCATATCAATTGCAGTATAAAAATATTTTCATCAAAGATTGAAAAACAATACCCATTGTATTTTCTAAAACCTTTTGGTATTTCACAAAAATGAATTGTCTATCTCCAGGAGGACAATCCTCAAATCATCTAGTTCCAGTCTATTGTTACATATTTCAGCTCTAAATGATCCCCTTAAACTAAGAACATTCTATTCTCCATTAGTACTGTTCCTTTCACTATTACTAGTCTATTAAGTAAATTGGTCCACACTTTAAATTTTTCCAAAAGTTATTTTTATTTTATAATTATTTTATTTATTTAGTTATTTATTTTATCATCATTTTTTTTATATACATATTTCTTACATCTGAATTTTACTTCTTTCCCAATTTGTTTCTAATTCTTTATTCTAGCATTTCACAGTAGATAAATTAACTGACCGTATTATCATCATCAGCTCTTTTTTTTTTTACTATTTAACATCCCCTAGTTTTCTCCAAGTTCTTTAGATTTTTGATTCATTTTAATCTTTCTTTTATCCTCCATGTCTCCTCATTTAAGTGTTATCCGTAAAAGAGTTTAATTATGGGTACATGAATCTATGGCGTTCTTAAGGTCATTACTTCTTAGATTTCCTTATTCTAATTTTTCAATCTCTACTTAATCATGATGAGTTATCGACCTCATCCTCTTCCAATTTTTTATTAAATTTTTTTTTATTTAGCACCTCAATCTACTTTCGTACTTGATTCTTTAAAGCAGATTTTATATAAGTTTTTACCTCATCCTCTTCAACTTTTTTATTAAAATTTTTTTATTTGCACCTCTAACTCTACCTTCGTCACTTGATTCGTTTAAAGGAGAGCCATTTATATAAGTTTTATAACGTGTAACCTTAGATAATTAATAGTATTAGTCCTTAGTCTACATAAATTAACTCTCACACCAAGATACATTCCAAATTCCTTTTAATTTATTAGTTTTACCTACAACATATTCCACGATCTTTCTCATTTCATCTCCTTTTAATTTTTTTAGTTTATACCAAAAACTATCTCACTCACATTAACACACTAGAGTTAAAGCATAAGTCTATTAACCGATTCCAATCTAAATTGCTCCATTTATCTTATTAATTAGATTACAATTAATTATTTTCATGTGACTTGAAGTACATTCTATTTGATACTTATTAGTCAATCTTTTCCATATTAATTCAAATTTTAAACTTCACAAACTTTGTCAATCTTTTCCATATTAATCAAATTTTAACTTCACAACTTTTGCCCAATTATTTACTAACCACTTTTAATTCTATATTAAAACACCCAAAATCTTACCCTTCATACTAATTATGCAAAGGAAGTTTTACCCGCTTCTTTATTATGTTCCGTTATTCTGCCTCACCTCAATATGTCCTACTCAGTTAACATTATTTTCTTCATATTTAATCACATAATTAATTTACCTTTGTCTTTTATTTAACTTTAATTACTCTATTTAAATTATATATGTTGAGATTCACCTCAATCAATAACTTTTATTGTACTTCGACACAATTTATCATTTATACGTCTGACTATATTTTATTATTCCAATAAATCTCTATTCTCCTTAATATTCTACTTAAGCAATTTACAAATGTTCGCTTTTTACATTCATGAGTTTCACCTTGGTAAATTAAGGATCTCTTATCTAGTATGATTATTCGTTCTAGATCCTCCTTTTCTAACCCTTGTAAATTACAATTTTCCACTTTTTAATCCCTACCAGTAACATTTCTAGAATTTGATCTCTTATTAATTTATCACTATTAATTTCTATAGGCATAATTTAGTCCTCGGGGTAGACAATATGATAAAAATTAAATCAAACATGCAAATATTGTAAATAATTTAAAATTCTAAAATCAAATAAATTTTTGACATGCCGACAAAACAATAAAACCAAACAATTAATTGCAACTTCAAAACAATTTCCAAAAACATTTTTCTCAAATCATAGTTCAATTAAATTCACTTTCGTATTGTCTTTAAAACTCCAAATTCTTTTCTAAACCATTTCAAATAATTTTTGAAGCAGTGTTTCTTGTCGAATCATGGTGTACTGGGTGATCAGGCCATTTTTGAAGCAGTGTTTTTCTTGTCGAATCAAACGAGCGAATGTGTACTGTGGTGATAGCAGGCACTTACACCAAATTTGTCCAACTTGATCTTCTGCTTCAATATCTAGATGGAGGGGAACGATTCTAGGAAAACTCAAAAATGAGATCTAATTTTATAAACGTCAGTTTACCGACCTTTTTTGATTAGATTTTCACTATCTTAAGTATATGTTACTCTTAATTCTCAATCCTAAGTTTCATTATTAGATTTCCTATGCCAATTCTCGTGCACGATGCGCTTCACCGGCACTAAACGGGAATTCCAAATCCAGGACACCCTTCTTTGTGGTTACAGTCCTCTGATCCCAACATAGAGAGCCCTTATATTCAAATTCCTACGTTACCGCAATTTGATTCCTAAGGCCCAACTTATGCTTGACAATTGATTCCTAAGGCCCAACTTATGCTCTGATACCAACTTTGTCACAACCCATTTCCATGGACCGGACCGGCACTAGGACCTAAGTGGGCTTAAGGCCCCCGAAGCCCGTAGTAAGCCTGTATTACTTAAAACTCGCATTCTATTTCCAATTGTGGATTCAGGCCTAATAATTTGTTTCACAAATCTATCTAAAGTACAATCCAAATAATAAATGTCTATACTCTATTTATTTATTTACAACTCAGTTGGAATACAATTG